TAAAAAAATAAAAAAATATTAAAAAAAGTTTAATTTCAATTTTAATCTTTTAAAAAGTTAAGTTCACACTTGACTTAATGCGAGATTTGTATGAGTAAATCATGTGTCTATTCTTTCAATCTAAAATTTGAAATGATTAAATCTAATAAACTCAAAATCTAATATTACTCAATTTGAACCCATCTAATTTAATTTGTTTACTAGATCTAACTTTTATTATCTACAATAGTAATTCATGATGACAAAAAATTACCAAATTGGCATTGAGATGACAATAATTAATGAAATTTTACCGAGTACGTAATATTATCTTTTATTTTGAGTTTTTTCATTTAAATTCAAAAAATGAAAGGTAAAAATTTTTATATTGTAAGTTGAAGGTCCGACACTTTTATAATTAATAAAGTGGAGGGCTGACCATAGATTTTTGCTCTAATGAGTAATGAGTGTGGGCACGCTTTTAAATTTTCAACCTTTTTTTTTTCTTTTTCCCGATGACTTTTAGGAGGAAAAGATCCATCTCATTACCAAATTGGTGCCTGTAAATATAAAGAAATTCTTCTCTCAATGACCATAGGTTTTCTTCTCTCTCCTTTCTCCCGAAGCCCAGAACAATGAAAACCCTTAAAAGAAATTCTCCTCCTCCTCGTCACCCAGCAGAAAATGCCTCTTCCTGAAAATTCCCCTACTGCTCTTCCAAAACTCAGAAGAAGACTCCCAAAACCAGACCCCAAAATCAACAAAAGACCCCCCCTTTTTTATCTGATTTTTTCCTATATATATATCCAAATAATAAAATAAAATAAAGATGAAATAAATAAAAAAAACTTGCTCCGTCAATCACTGATGATGCCGATTTTGTCTGGCATGTGTTGTTTTTTCTATAGGTGAGGTAGGGGCAGGGCTGTAGCAAGCAGGAGTGTAGAGGCGCAGGATTAGGGCACAAAGTGCAGGAGGCGCAGCAGCAAGGGCGCAGGCGGTAAGGGCAGGGCTCCGTGCAGCAGAGGGGCGTAGGGGGGTATGATGGCTCGGGCGTGTAAGGGCATGATTGTCGGTGATGGCTGGTGCAGAGTGCAGGCGATCTGGTGCAGAGCAAGGGGATCTGGTGCAGAGCGCAGGAGCTGGTGCAGAGCAAGGCTGGTGCAAGAAGCAAGGCCGAGCGCAGGAGCTAGGGGCGCAGAGCAAGGGATGCTGAGCAGGGGCCGCTGGTTCGTGCAGAGGATCTGGGCTAGTTCGGGAGGAGAAGAGGAAGGTTCTGGAGAGAGAACCCGATGGTTAACGGGGGAGAAAAAGGGGATTTAAGCCTTTGCCCCTTTTTCTTTTTTTTCTTCTTTTTTTTTTTTTGTGATTTTAGGGTAAGGGTGGGGTTGGGTTTTTTTTGGGTCATTTGAGATGGGTTTGAGAAATGGGTTGAAATTCAAGGCTTTCGTATGATTTTTGAAATTTGGCTTTGCACTTCGAATTCCTTCAATTAAGTCCCTTTCTCGAGTTTCTTTTCCATTTCTTCTTGAATTTCTTTTTGCACATAGCACTTGAAAGAAAATAAAGATATATTAGTCAAAGAAAATATATTAGTCAAAGAAAAAGAGAAATTTTCTTCTTTTTTTTTTTTTTTTGATTTTTTTTAATTTTTGATTTTTTCATTAATTTTGTGATTGATATATATATATATATATGAAAAGTCTAAATAAATTAAATGAAAAATCAGGTTATGACACCTAGGTTGAGTTCTTTGAATCTTGTATTATTCCTAAACAATCAAAAAATGTAAAGATAAAATAAAATATGATATTTGTATTTAAAATCTGTAAAAAATATGAATATGATATGAAAATTTTTGTAAAATTAATTAAAATACCTTAATTAATAAGTTAACTTATGCCTTAAAATATATGTTAGACAAACCCATCTATATTTTCTCATCTCACTTTTCATTTTGTTTAATAGGAAAAACTATGAAATTGATATGAAATGAAGTATAAGAGCTCCCCACCCAAAAAAAGTATATGAGTACAAATGCTAACAGGTTTGGAAATTTTGTCTCACATTCTAGTGATTAAGAAAAATTTTTACATATTTTAGTAGTTAAAATTTTAAATTTTTATATTTTTAAGTGGTATTTTAAGTGATTAATAACTTAATACAATTAAGTTAAAAAAATCAAATTCAAATTTTAAAATGAGTGAAGAGAAAAGGATTATATTATATAACACATTATCTTATATATCAAATAAAAAATTATTGAGCTTGCCTGCTAAAAATTTAATTGTTTGGATGGGTGAGTGAGGAGGTTTTTGTGTGGCGAAGTCAAGTTCGGAAAGGTTGAAAAGGGAAACAAGTAAAAACCAAAAAAAAAAAAAATTATATTAGACTCATTTAGGTCCAAAAGCCTATTTAACAATTAGGAATGTGTTAAAAAAATAATAAATATATTTTTATTATAAATATATTTCAGAAAAATAAAAATTAGGTTATTAATTTATTAATTTTTTAATTAAATTTATTTATTTAATATTTATACTAAAATTAATATTAATTATTATATTATATTATATATATATTTAGGATAAAAAGATAAACTTAACATTTGAAGTAAGTCGCAAGGTTCGGTTAACAATTTTACTATTTTTAGTCCAGTATCTTTGGATAGAGGCAATTCGTGTAGGCCCGCCTCAGTTAGATCAGTGGATGGCGTGGCGAAATGTGGCGAAATGTGGCGAAAGCCCATAATCAATTTCAGTCTGACGTGCATTATACGTGTCGTCACCGAGTAGTCACTTGTTGCTCCAAAAGCAGCACGTGGTTTACACACCCTTATGTCTCGATTTAATATCTTTTATTAACATTTTTAACATATTAACATTTAATTATTATCTTTATAAAAAAAATTCAATCTGACGTGGTAAGATAAATCAAATAAATATATATATATATATATCTGTTTTCCTGTACCCAATAAAAAAAATATATATCCAGCATCCGATCAACGAGCCCTTGCTTTTCTTCAAGTTCGTAGCAAAATAGTTCTGCAATGACTATCTCTGCTTCATCCCTTGCCCCCAGAACCTGTCCCTACGCCCCACTTCCTCTTCCTGCTCCTCAATTTTCCTTCCATTTGATCCACCTTCCTTCAAAACGGCCTCCCACCCAATAAGAGCTCTGAGAGAGTGGCAAGAGCACGAGGAGGCAGTGAAGCGCAAGGACCTTACCAGAGCTCTCAGGTTCTTGAAATCAATTGAGAAAAACAATGGTGATCCAGTTGAGGAGAAGCTCAAACATGGTTCTTTGTCTATTGAATCGCCTCGGCCCCAACTCGGAGAGCTGGAGTTTGTTGGTGGGTTAGAGAGGGATTGGGAGGTCTTGGATACTTATTTGAGTGCTAGTGATATGAGACTTGTGGGTATTGCTTATGGGTTTCTAAAGGACCGAGGGTTCTTGCCCAATTTTGGAAGGTTCAGTGGTATAGGTATTTTTTTGTTATTAACTCCTGCTGAGGGTATTCTTTTATATGTTTTGGTTTTGAGTTTTTTCTGTCCTCGGGTATTAATTCACAGCGAACTTGGAAAGGGAAAAATGGGTCTTTTGTCATATGTAAAGGGGTGTGCTTTGCAATTGTCACGGTAACAGCTTTCATTTCTGCTCGAATGAATAATTTTGCTTTCAACTTCTTCAACATGCACACTTTAGGCAGTTCTGTAGGGGCCAAGAGACGTTACACCAGGTGTCTTGAAGTCCTCTAGTGATTTAGATGTTATCTTTATTTTAATTTTTATGAATTTGTCTAAGTTATTCAAGTTGTTGCATCATCTTGATTTGAACTAGTTTGCATGTAGAAATCTTTGCAGCTTCAGCAGAATGCATGGTTTTAGATGATTGGGATTATAATAATGTATATCGTTTTATTATGATTGGGTTGTTTTATGGTTGTTGGTATTCTAGTATTTTGTTTTCATCTATGAAAATAAAAGTAAAATTTCATTGAAATAGTTATGGATTACTTTTTCCTTTTTCAGTTTTTAACCTTTCTCCAAAAAAGTGGGGTTCTTCTGGAATCTCAAGCATTGCATTGGTTGCCCTTCTGGGTTGAGTCTCTTATCTGCTTTTTCAAGGGATTCATATCAGGCCTAACCTTGCTGCCAGACTGCACCTAGCCTTTTTGGACTCTATCTTCCTAAGGGGCACATGTTTAGCTTTAATCTCAAGTTACTGGCCTCTGTATAGGCAGCGGATTCTAGTTCATGAAGCAGGCTACCCCCTTGTTGGTATGCAATACTTGCGTTGTTCACTTTAATGTTATTATGGTTTTTTTTAGTAAAAAATCTGAAATATGAATCCCTACATTTGGACACTTTTTGCATGGTCATTTCTGCATGTTTAGCAGTGGCAAAAAGGCTGATGTTCTCTTTGGTGCCTTCTGGTTCTTCGACAATGATCTTGGCATATGACATTGGCTTACGAGCATAACTAATGTTCTTTTGCTAATTTATTTGCAGTGCAACCCATAACTTATGGTTTGCCCAATTCATGGAGTGATTTTGGATCCAATTGCTGCAATGCAGATGGGCATCCAAGGGCAGGTAGTGATTATGAATTTTTTTTAATTACATTTTTCTCTAAGTATTTTTGTGAAGTAAATCAATCTGCATGATGTATGCTGTTTGATTCTTAAGCAATATAATCTCTTGTTGACAACTTTAGTTTATGGAAGTTATTAAGGCCCAGACCCAGCATTTGTCTACTGGCTGGAACTCAGTTTTGGGATGAGAAAATGAGTAATGAGCTGGCTGAAGGACGATTGAGTGGCTCTACCTTTGACAGGTTGGTGTCACTAGGTGGTGTCTCTGATGTTTGATGCTGCCTAAAGATTTAGATATTCTTGCCTTAAATGCAAGTTTAGCATCCAAATTATATTTATTTCATTTACTATTTGAAAAATTGGTAGAGTTACAGATTGTTATTCATCATGTCTTCGACGGTCAGTTTTCAGATATACTGACTTCAAACTCTAAGAAAGTTTCCCTGACCTAAATTCTTGTTTCTGATTCTCGTTCCTTCTAGGTCTTCCTTTTTTTCAATCTCTTTTTCAACATCTTCTTCTATTACTCTCACTCTATTTGTTCTTTACTTGAGCTGCATCAGGTCATAAGGTCTATAATTCCATTAGTTTCTAATTATGATCACTGTTATTTCAAGTGGAATAAATCTGTCTAAACAGGAGTTAAAATAAACTATTCTTCTAGGCAATCTGCAGAAGTGCATTGCATGTTCTTCTCTCTTAAGGCTGTTAGTAAATACGTCATTAGCAAAAATGCATATCAGGAATATTTTTCTACTAGTATTGATTATAGTGATGCATGATTATATGATCAGGTACTGCATGGTCCTTTTTGCTGGTATTGCTGCTGAAGCTCTGGTTTATGGTGAGGCTGAGGGTGGAGAGAATGATGAAAACATGTTTCACAGCATCTGTGTCCTTCTGCAACTGCCATTGTCTGTAGCTCAGTAAATCTGCAACTATCTATTTTCATGCCTTTACTCCATTAATAGGTACTAATTATCCTCACCTAGAGAGAGAAAAGATGCTAATTACTGGTTTTCATTACCTTGAGAAGATTTCAAATCAAGCTAGGTGGTCTGTTCTACAGTCTTTCAACATGCTTAAATGGCACAGGCATGCTGATCGAGCTACTGTCAGAGCTTTGGAAAGTGGTGGTAGTCTTAGTATTGTAATTAGGAGGATTGAGCAAGCCATGTCTTCTGGCAGATGATGTGCAGAAGAACATAAACATGCTTGTTTCTGTGGTCCAATGAAGTTCAAGAGTTAAATGTTCTATATGCACCTATAGGAAGGCTTAGATAACCATCGTCTGTTCTTGTATGGCTGGGCATGGTGAACTGAGGCATGGAAGCTCTGAAGCGTTACTCTGATTATTGTTCTCTACTCTTTTCCGTACTAAAGTAAAGACTAATTGCATGTGTCATCACTTATGAGAAAGATTTTCCTCAAATGATAGGTTTCTTAGAAGGAGAATGAATGATTCAACTTTTTTGAAGTTACCAAGATATGTCCTAACAGGCCACGGTGGGCGGTGGGCACATCGAGGAAGTAACAAATTTTGGATCAAGCCTACCATTTTTGACATATGTAGTCTAAAGAGATGGTTCCTCTTGGTATCTTTGCTGCATTTAGACCACAAATGTGAGCCAAGTTTCTCGTGTTCTCATCTTTTTGTAAACATTTTAGGATCAGAGTGCCATTTTTTCCAACGCTGTTTTGGTTGAATGAATGTTTGGTTTTGAGCCATGGCCCCTTGATTGTACCCCTAACTAATTTGATTATGGTTTAAGCTTTTGCCCCAATCAAGATGTCTCCATATTCTCTTAGAACAAAAGACTACAACATTTTGCACATGCGCTTTATTTGTAAAAGTTGTCATTTTTTGGCTAAATTTGTATATGTTCTCATTATTTTCCAATAAATGACATTTGGTGGGATTGATGTAGAGGCATGTTTTAGTGTGATGAACTTTATTAGTGGGAAACTTCAATATCAAAGTTTGCATTAAGATCATTTGAATCGAAGGCTATCCCTTGAATACTCATTTTCTCTTACAATTCTAATTACCAGTCACTCTTGAGTCTTGACTCTACAAAGGTTAAATGCTTGTTTTGGAAAACCAACAAAAGTTGTGCCAGAACAAAGTAGTAACAAGAAGTGATGCAGACTTCAATGAAGTAAACCATTTCCGTCTACAATAAGGATTTATGTGCAGAACTATTGCGATTGCCATCAAGATTGCAACATGATGATGATGAAGAAGAAGAAGAAGAAGAAGAAGGAAAAGTGATGAATTGGGCGGCTCTTACAAAAATGAAAGTTTTATGACCCTTATTAAGAAAAGAAGAAGCATCATCATCCACATGAAAAGTGGTGAATTGGGCGGCCCTTACAAAAAAAAAAAAAAAATGAATGTTTTATG